CTATGAAATATTTGCACAAAATTCTAAACACTTATTCTGCCACAATTGTGTGTATAATGAATGGACTGTAGACTAGTTATTAAATGGTCGCATAATAAGTCAGGAAGAGAGGTGCCACAATCTTGATAAAAATGTTCCTATCAAGAACTATAGGTCACTACTAACCATTCCACTGTCAAGAGATCCGGCACTGTCTCGGCGACCTTTCTTGCCTAAAACAACAGACAAGCAATGCAAGAGAAGTCAAAGATGAGCACAAAGCAGTGGCAAGGGAAGAAGGTTATTGATATTAGTATAATAACTTTGCACTAAATAACAAACACACACACATCAAATCTTGGGGGAGATTGAGGAAATAAATATGCTGAGAATTATGAATAATTAACACAATCAAGGTCACACAAACAATCTGCAGCATACGATGTGGGTGTCAATGTGTTATCTTTACCATTTCTATCATTCAATATTAGATGTTACGCATAATTTCAAATACTTCCTATCTTTAATATCACAACTATTATTCAGAATTAAATAATTATTAATTTGTAACAAACTGTAGTATTACTATATTATTTATTTCTACTTTAATCTCCAAACAAGCACCCTATGATAAGCAGATGATTATTACAGGATTGTGCATGGTAAGGTCAGCAAAGAGTGAAACAAGTAAAGACAAGGAAGCAACCATAGAGGGCATGCTGTTTACCAGAATGAGATAGAGGGCACAGTTCAGAGAGACTCACCGTGCCCCTTTAAACGCTTATAAATAGATAATTGGCGTGAAAGTGGAACAGCATGTGCTGATGATGAGGGTGTTGATAAAATGATGGTGATGAATCCCTGTGTGGTAGTGTACTGGTTTTCACAGCATCCACTGGACAACACACATTAACAAACATTTATAAACAAAAACAAAAAATTGTTTAACATGTACATAATTAACAAAGATAGGGACATTGGAAAACAGACTTATTTGAAAAATATTCAAATAAATATTGTGTGCAAGTGTGATTTATGTAAACAGGCATGAAACATGTGTTCTGCAAGAAACGATATCATCATGCTACAAGTACACAACACTGATGGAACTATAACAGTAAGTGTATAATAAACATATAATAACATGGAAATAGATACAATGTTGCTGCTTATTCATGAAATTATAGTAAAATAACTGTTTAAAATATGGTTCTAAATAACATTGAAAGTACGCAGTGCAATGAATGTGTAATGCACACAAATACAATGCTGAATGTAATTCAAAAATTTTCTCAGAAGGAATACAACCATTCTTGTCAAAAAAACAAACATCACATGAGCTAATCCTATATGTGAACAAGCGATTTGTACACTGTTGATTACTTGAACACCTTAAGCATAATTTACAGATATAAATGCAGTGTATATAATGTATGGATGAATTTTAGATAAAACTAAATTATATATGGTACCGGGGTATATAGTCCATAATCTACAGTAATCAGTGTAATTTTTGTGATGTAATTTACAAAACTAGTGGGGATGATACTTTTCAGTGTCTTGCAGATTCCAATAACATGTGCTGAGACATGTTGCTGTTTTCTCATACTTGCGAAATTAAAAAAAAATAAAATAAAGTAATCTACAATGTGTTCAGGTACTTACTGTATTTGCCCTATTAATAGCATACGAAAGTGACAGATCCGGCATACAATAAATGCAAATGTTTTGTTTATGTGCGCTTCTATTAGAGCAAACACGATACATATTTGTGATCATCCATAGTCACTTTCCACTCACCATGTTCCATTACATCACACTCGACGACTAGTATAGTAGTACAAATATTAACTAGAAATATAGTTTACAATCTTACCTGATGTATCTTTGAGATCCATTAAAGAATTAGAGAGTGCTGAGCGTTTCAGAGAATTACTGCGATCAGTAACTGTCAATGAATCCATGCTGTCTCTGAGATCACCATTTGCTATGCTATCAGTGTCAAGTCCAACTCCTGAATCACTACCACTACCAAGTGACCTCTTCAGTGTTAATGTCTGTTTTTGAAGTTCAGCTGCAAAGAAAATACATGTAATAGACAGTTGGTCAATATATCTATTGAGATGACTTTATAACAAGAAATTGGAGTTTGAAAGTGATATGATTAAAAGAACACAACACACACGTTATATCACACATTATAGTATTGTATGCCCCCCCCCCCCACCTCACAACTTGAAATATGACTCGGACATGTTGGGTATATTCTCAGGATGTAAGTGTGTAACTTTTTTTCTCATCTCCCAGAGTAAGGATAGACGCTTTCTATAGTTCACAAGTAACACAGACAGTTCAATCTTATATGGTATTCTGCATTATCATGTACAGTCCTATGCACTGGTAGTATGGTATAATATGATCCTCAGAAATTTCTTATAATTGTGTTACTTAGATTACATTTCATTAGTAACCCTATACTATAATACCCCAATAATATTAATGCACCTAATGGCAGCCATTTTGAATCAAAATTGGTGAAGTCTGTCGAGTTTTGATTCAAATATTCACAACCCAATTTTTTTTTAATATTTCAAACTAAATTGATGTGAAGTATAAAACAAATATAATAATGTATGAAATGGAGAGTCATGAATTTCACAATAATTGACTGTTTAGTTGTCTAGTTGTGTATAATTGTGTAATAAAGTTGTTGAATGGAATTAGTGTGCACATTGCCTTTACATGGCTGCCAGATTACATACAAAAAGGTTTACATTTATGATGAACAAAGCAAACAAAACAAAACAAAACAAAATTCTCCAGGCATGCAATCAGCGAATTCCAGTGAGCAATTTTAGATATAAATTTGATATATCCAAAACAAACGGTGCAAGTCTTATGACTACGAGTCATGTATTTCCAATGTGATGTCAGTTCCAGCATTATACAAACTATGTAATACTGTAAAATCTGTATTAGAAGCTGCAGCTTAATGGGTGTGACTTATATTAGGGATGCAGCTTCTAATACACATTTGATGCAAATACACAGCAGAACACACATGAGGTGAAATATTAGGATATTCATATGCAAACAGCATTAAGACAGAAAATTATTTTTGTTTCATTTGCACGCTGTTATCATAGATATACATCATGTCACACGACAAACATGTGATGTATCAACTATGGTATAAATATAATAGTAATTTGGGCTGAATGTCTGACCACTGCATGTTCAGTCTTTATGAGTATGGTAAATGAATGCAATAAACAGAAGTGATATGACGTGTAATTGTCTTAATTTAACTAACACATGATATCACGAACAATAACACTAAAACGAATCACAACACCATGATATGAAGTTTCCCAGGTGAGAGATTAGATGTGCAGAATAAAAAGCTGAGATAGGAAAAGAAGAAGTGTTATTAGTTATAACTGGGAAAACTTTTATAAGGATCTAATACTTGTATATATAAAAACAGTAAAATGCAAATTCTATGTAACATAAAACTGGTCTAAACCATGCATCTACATAACACAGCAGTAGAATGAAACGTAATTTTATTCTTTTTGTAATTGTTTAAGATGGTGCCTTTCTCTAATCCATTTTGTACTGGAGTAAAATTCACACACATGTGTATCAGTTCAGGCCATGTAATCACAAGTCAGTGTCATTAGTGAGGTTATCTTTTAAAATGGCAGAATAGTGTGACACCAAGACACAAATAAGTAGATAGGTGAGATTGCATGAGGTCGACACAAAATTTGAATTGAATCAGCCAAGGCATACCTCTGTTTAAATGTTTAAATGTTTTTCAAAAATTGCCAGTCATTAAAGAGTCACCAAACAAAAACAAGTTAACCTGCATATGTATGTTTTGTTTCTTTGGACTGATTTAAAAAAAAAAGAAATTGATGATTGCAAACGCAAGACAATCTATGTTTAAACAGAGACTAATAACTAAATGCTGAAATATAGTAATTTATAATATGATGTGAAATAATGAAGTTTCTAATGTCAAAGCCGATGATGTTTGAGAGTTAAAAACTACATTAAAATGGAAGACCAGAGGAAGACTGAACACCAATATGCATGATCATACTAATTAATAAGTTGACACACACACTACATTGTAAGATGACCTATATTTTTGGAAGAAAAAGACCCCCCCCCCTTATGAAATGATTAACTAAAAACATACATTGTTCAGTCTTAACGTAAACATACACAAAGCAGATGATATTTAATCCTATACCATATTTACCATTTCCAGGAACAAAATATTAATTACGTATAATATACCATATTTACTCTATTAGTAGTGCATGTTCTTATGCATGATCAAAACAAGTAATATTTTTATAATTGGTATATACCAAATGTGATGATTGGCTCATATGCATTTCTAACAGAGCAAATATGGTATTTAAAAAGAAATGAAAAACTGACTGATTAAAAGAAAATAACATTGCCAATTGTCAATTAACAAAAAAAAGTGTAATTGCTCTAGGTATGAGCAATACAGAGTTTTGATATACATGTACGTTATCGTTAAAACTGATAAAGGAGTAATAAAATCAACATTTCAATTTGTTGTTAATTATTACTTTTTCAATTTTGGTTTAAAAGTGGCATGTGTTTTTCTTCATCAGTCTTCTTGTCATATGTGATGCCTACCTGCATTCACCACGACATCGTCAAAGACTGCAATTCAATAAATTGGTGTATAAGAAAGATGACAGAAGAGCAACAGACCACCACTAAATACATACTTAGGCAAGCCGAAATATACTTAAAACTACTCAGTCAGTGTGTAGTCAGAAAGGCACAAATATATTACTAGTGTAATTTATCTGTGATATGTGCGAATGCAAAAACAAAACAAAATAACAAACTGATAATGGCGAGGTTACTTTTCAGATATACCAGTATTTGTATGTAAAGATTAGAGTTGCAAACCAGTGAATATATGTAAGTGATTATTGCACCATGTATTGTGTAAAACATAAGATATAATGCAGTGATAGTTTAAGAGAGAGTTGAGGTGTATGTGACGCTATGACGCATGGTATGGTTGCCTTGGAACAGACCTGCCAAATGACCAAATTAAAAGGAATCATTAGCATACAGGTATGATACATGAAGTGAATACAGACATAACAGGACAAATGAAAACACTAAGTATGATGTAATGTTCTAGTAATACATGTATATGACATTCTGGCATGGTCTCCCTATCAATGTGTGTATGAACCCCAGTAACATATGTCATTCTGGCATGATCTACCTAAAGTATCTCTGCATGAACTCCAGCAATATACGACTGCCAGGTATTTTATTTACAGATGGACATCACTTTCCCACAATCAAAATTGTTTAAAAAGTATTTAAAAAAAATAATATATTATGTTTATTTTATGATCAAAAGTTGACATAGGCATTTAAATTGTACTGTAATTAATATGATCCATATTGAAGATGAATTCAGACTGTATTTTTCCAGCAAGCTAGTGAAACCTCAACCTCAACCTAATAGTAAATTTTACCTCAACATGTACAATTGATAGATTATTGATATGCTATTAACATCTTTGTTTCATGTACCTTTACTGTATCTCTATTTACTTTACAAGTAGAGTACACAAATATATAAGTAAGATATAGATTATTAAATCTTGGTGCAGAATTTAAAATAAGATAGACACACAGTTTTCTTTTATCATAAATAATACACACATATTTACAAATACATACACACAACTAACTAACATAATGCAATTGACAAATTACAAAATGCCATAAATGGTGTTTTTCTTACCTCCTATTCTTAAATCTTCCATTTCATGCATCTCTAAAACAGCTTCTTTTAAATCAGACACAAATCTTGCTCTATCTTCTTCACTCTGCGCTGAGAAATTGATGAGGATTTTCTCGGATTTTGCCAGTCTAACACCATATTGATAGTCTAGAAGAGCAAAACATCAATAAGATAAAACATACAACAACAACAACAACAACAACGACAGACATTGTCTCCTCTCTCTTCATCCATAAAACAAACAAGTTAAAAAAAACGTTGGTTATAATGTAGCTCATAAAATCCAAGGTAATTAGACGTTTTTAGCATGCTTGTATATGAAGTGGTTTTGCTGGTTTAAAGACATATGGATTGTATTCTGATGGTTTAGTGACATATGGATTGTATTCTGATGGTTTAGTGACATATGAATTGTATTCTTATGGTTTAGTGACATATGAATTGTTTTCTAATGGTTTAGTGACATATGGATTGTATTCTGATGGTTTAGTGACATATGGATTGTATTCTGATGGTTTAGTGACATATGGATTGTATTCTGATGTTTTAGTGACATATGGATTGTATTCTGATGGTTTAGTGACATATGGATTGTATTCAGTTCAGATAGTTTAGTGGCATATGGATTGTATTCTGATGGTTTAGTGACATATGGATTGTATTCTGATGGTTTAGTGACATATGGATTGTATTCAGATAGTTTAGTGACATATGGATTGTATTCAGATAGTTTAGTGACATATGGATTGTATTCAGATAGTTTAGTGGCATATGGATTGTATTCAGATAGTTTAGTGACATATGGATTGTATTCAGATGGTTTAGTGACATATGGATTGTATTCTGATGGTTTAGTTACATATGGATTGTATTCTGATGGTTTAGTGACATATGGATTGTATTCAGATAGTTTAGTGGCATATGGATTGTATTCAGATAGTTTAGTGGCATATGGATTGTATTCAGATGGTTTAGTTACATATGGATTGTATTCAGATGGTTTAGTT